GCCCCCTCCCCACAGATACCCACAACCCCAGGGCACTGCCCCCGGGAGCCCCCATCTCCCACACTCAGGAACAGGGGATCCTCTCCCCCCAGGCCTTCGCAGTGCCAGGCCCTGGGACCCCAGCCCCGTTCCCTGTGATGTGATGCCAGGGCCAGCCCTGCCTCTCCCCACGGCCCCACCCCACCGGGCCAGGCCCAGCCCAGCCCCAGTTCCCCCACCCCCACTCCAGCTGGAAATTAGGAGAGGGTTTCTAGCCATCTGTGACAAAGTGGGAATGTTCTTAATGTTTTCTCTGACTACTGTGTGGGTGCCTCAGTTTCCCCTGTGCCTTTCTTAAGTATCTAGGTGGTGGGAGCAGGGGGTGTGATTGTTGCAGAGCCCTAGAGGGCAGGTGTGATGCTGTCTGCACAGAGAATGGCCGACACCCTGTCTCCTGATGGCCTGGGCCCTGCCCCTGCAAGGTGCCAGCTGAAGGTGTGGGAGAACAAAGAGATCAGGTGACCTCCTGGCCCGGGAAAGGGACAAAGGCCAGAGGCTGGAGAGTTTCAGTTTGGAGCTGGCTGGGGAAAGAGAGGGGGGCTCAGAACCAGGGTCTGGGCTCCCCACCCCGAAAGATAAACATGACTGAGGGGTCCTGTTTTCTGTACCTCTGGTTTAGATCATGTTCCTGTCGTCTAATAAACCTTCTGTGTTACTGGCTGGCTGAGAGTCCTGGTGAATCGCAGGAAGTGGGGGTGCAGGGCCCTGACTCCCCCACTCCCCGTTCCCCCGGCGCCAGGCCACGCCCCCGGTCCTGCTCCCCTGGCGCCAGGCTGTCCCCCCCAGCCCCGCTCACGTCGGCAGCTGCGTTGCAGGGCATTGCCATGGTAGCCAGGCCGGCATTCGGCGCAGCGGGGCCCGTCTGTGTGGTGCAGACAGCGCAGGCACTGCCCGCTGCGGGGGTCGCAGGCCTCGGGGTCGCTGGGGTCGATGTTGTTGTTGCACTGGCAGGGCCGGCAGCCCCCGCCCTCCTGCTCTGGGGCCCCGAAGTAGCCGGGGGAGCAGCGGTCACAGCGCGGGCCTGGAAGCGACACCAGGAGACACTCAGCCTGCTGGGTGATCTCCGGAGAAACGCCCCAGCCCTGGCCCCCGGGGGGGCGCCCAGCCCCAGCCTCAGGGACCCCGTCCTGCTCTCAGGAGCCAGAAATGCACCTGCTTCCGACCCCTCTGCCAGGAGTGTGCTGCTTGGCTGGAGCCCCTCGGACCTGGCGCAATGGGGCGCTGGGACCTACCCCAGGCACACATCCCTGGGACGGCTGCCCAGGCCCCATGGCCAGCACGTGGGCACCGCATGGGGAACAGCCAGCGGCAGGGCTCTCGGGAACCGCCTGCCCCAGATCACCAGCCCTTCCCGCTGCATTCTCCCATCATCACCATGGGGAGGGGCTGGGAGGTGAGCGGGGGGGCGGGGGTCTGTCTTTGTTTTTTTTAAAGGAAATGGGTAAACCCTGAACTCCCTGTCGGCCAGCAGGTAGCCCCCCGCCCCACCCCCGACCTCTCTGCCGGCCAGCAGGAGCCCCCCGCCCCACCCCCGACCTCTCTGCCGGCCAGCAGGAGCCCCCCGCCCCACCCCCGACCTCTCTGCTGGCCAGCAGGAGCCCCCCGCCCCACCCCCGACCTCTCTGCTGGCCAGCAGGAGCCCCCCGCCCTGCCTGCCATGAGCCGGGCTGGCACAGCACCCAGCCCGCAGCCGGGGCTAGTGGCAGCAGCAGATATTGCAATTCCAGTGGGGCAGGCCGTGGGGCTGGCCGTGGTGGGAGGCTCTCTGTGCCCGCAGCCCCTGGGAGCTGGGGGAGGCCCTGCCCTGTGTGACAGCCCAGAGGAGGTGGATGGGCCCTGGAGCCCTGGGCTGGGTCCAGAGAGCAGTTGGAGGGAGCCAGGCCCATCTCTTTCCCCTCCCCAGAGTTGGGGGCCCCCCAATCTTCTGGGTGCAGCGCAGGCTGTCTCTCTTCCCCCCCAGCAGCTCCCAGCGCAGGCTGGGCTGCCTGGCATTGGCGGGGCCGGCCTCGCCGGGTTTGTGTCTCCTGATTGCTCTGCCCGGCAGCCGCCCGTCCTTGGGGTGCCGGGGGAGCCCCGCAGAGGCTGAGCAGAATTTCATGGGACAGAAGGGAAAGGCCCTTCTGGAGCCGAGGGCCCCAAGAGTGGGGGGGCAGTGCCCTGACCCCATTAACCCCGCCCCCCACTGCTCACCTGTATAGCCTGGGGCACACAGACAGACGATTTGATTGGTCTCCTTGTCGGCGTGGCAGGAGTTGCCATGGTAATGCCGAGTCCCAGGGTACCCAGGGCATGGGCAGGGCCGGCACTGCTGCCCGGAGCCCAGCACCGGGTCGCCATAGTAACCCTCCAAGCACCTGCCCACAGCACAGAGAGAGAAACCACCGCGCTTCTCCCCCGCCTCTGCCCCCCGTCCCTCCCGCCAGTCCCCCCCACTGCCCCCGAGTCCCACGGCCAGCCCCCCCACACAGCCAGTCCCCCGCCTCTGCCCCCCATCCCTCCCGCCAGCCCTCTCTGCTGCCCCCTAGTCCCAGCCCCTGCTGCTGACCTCTGGCCAGGCCCCCGCCTCTGCCCTCCATCCCCCTCGCCAGCCCCCCCATCGCTGCCCCCCATCCCCCCAGCCAGCCCCTCCACTATCCCCCCGGCCTACCCCCCACCGTTGCCCCCCATATCCATGGCCAGGCCCCCCACCGCTGATCCTCATCTCAACGGCCAGCCCTCCCTCCCCCCGAGCTAGCCCACACTCTGGCTGCCCCCCAGCCAGCCCCCCACGCTGTCCTCCATTGCATCTTCACCACCCAGCCCTCAAGAGCTGTGCCCCGCCCCGTGGGGCCCACACACCCACCTCTCACAGTGGCGTCCCGTGGTGGCGTCGCGGCACTGCTGGCAGGCCCCGTTGTGGGTGTCGCACTCTTCGGAGTGCCCGTTGCAGTGGCAGGGCCGGCAGGCCGGAAAGCCCCACTGGCCCGGCAAGCACTGGTCGCACCGGCGCCCCATGGCCCCGTGCTGGCATCGGCACTGCCCGCTCACGGGGTCGCAGAGCTCGGAGACCGAGCCCTCAGGGGAGCAGGCACAGCCTGTGGGACAGGCGGGTGGGGCGTCACCCAGCTGGGCAGACAGGGGGACAGCAAGCATGCCCAGAGCACCACGTACCCAGACTGACGCACACAGACGGGGCCGATGCCTGGAGCGTTACTGTGACAATGGGGGGATGTTTACAATATTTTTATGAATCCTTTGTCTGCCTCAGTTTCCCTGGAGGAAGAGCAAGACCCCGAAGGGCTCTGGTACACCACAGGGTTTCCTCCTAGAGACCTCCAAAGGTGGGGGTGTCGCCCCGATCCTGTGGGTCTGTGACAGTCAGTCCTGGGCAGTTGGCTTTCCCCGTCTCCTATCCTCCAGTGAGATGGGTCTGGGTCTGGGTCTGGGTCTGGGACAGCTGGGCGGAGAGATAGGGGAGTCCACATCCCTCTGGGGCCTTGGCTGCTCGGTGCTGGAGTCCCTATTGTCTTCCCCATGTTCCGCACCCCAACCCCCTGCCCCTGCCCGCATCCCCCTCCTGCACCCCAAACCTCTCATCCCCGGCCCCACCCCCAGCCAGAGCCCTCACCCGCCCCCCGCACCTTAATCCCCTGCCCCCGCCCAGTGAAAGTGAGTGAGGGAGTGGGAGAGGGAGCAATGGGGGAGGGGTAATAGTGAGCAGGGGGGGGAAGGGGCGGGGCAGGGGGGTTGTTCAGTTTTGGCAGCCCCATAAGGCAGCGGTAGCTCCAGCCCAGCAGAGCACGATGCCCGGCCTTGGGGAGGGTTGCAGTCACAGCCAGGCACATCCCCCCAGGGGAGCACAAGGTGGGGTGAACGGGGAGACATCCCTGGGGTGGACAGAGCCACGCAGTCACCCATGGCCAGTGCTCCCAGGGTGAGGCTCACTGCAGACAGACAGACAGACAGACAGACAGACACACAGGTACTCACGGCTGCAGCCGGAGGGCCCAAATCCATAGGTGCCTGGCGCACACTGGTCACAGCGCCGGCCGATCACGTGGGGTTTGCACGGGCACTGCCCCCCCACCGGCTGGCACTCACTGCTGGTAGAGCCTTGGGGGTCGCACTGGCAGGCTGGGGAGAGAGGGGGATCAGTGGTGCTCATGGGGAAACTGAGGCACGGGGTGGGACCTCCCCCTTGGCACACACAGGAATAGAACTCAGGAGCTCATGGAGGAGCATTAGCTGCCATTTGCCCCACTCCGCCCCGCCAGCGAGCACTGCCCCCCAGAGTCCCAGCCCGGGGAGCCCACCCCCCGCCCAGCGCCCACCAAGCGTCAGTGGTGCTGGAAAAGATTTTGGAGTGGGGGTGCTGAGCTGCACCCCTCTTACCCCATCCACGCCCCTCTCCGCCCCCTAAAGCTGGGGCCAGAAGCAGAGCCCCCGGGCAGCAGTGGCCAACAGCCACGATGCCAGGCACCCCTACTTCCCATGCCTATGCCCAGTGCCCCTCCCCCAGCCAGCACTCACCCAGTGCCCCTCCCCCGGCCAGCACTCACCCAGTGACGT